TTTGGAACCAGAATAAGAAGACAGACTAAAAGAGATCAATGATTCATTAGGTGATACACCGTAAACTGGACAAGCAAAAACATAACAAAACGCACGAAGGAAAAGCAGCTGACTTCCAGCTCCCAAATAAGAAAAAAACATGATCACTAACAAAAAATAAAGCGAAAATGGATAATAATTATACAGAAAATATATATATTCAAGAATACGACTATGAAAAAAGGAAAGGAGCGCCCTGAGAAAACATTGCGGGCAAATTTCAAAGTATTACATGACACATCCCACATAAATAGGCCGATATACATAGAATGTTGTCATTCTGTTCGATTCTGCGTCAAATTCCGAAGGATCATCGACTGATGATCAGGAAATGGGTCATCATTGCTGAGCAGTCCAGCTGAATAGTATGTGAACTGGCTATTCGATCGATCACTGTGATAACGTTTCTGAAGTTTTCGTCGCATCTGATGCACCTTCACTGCAGCACGAATATCCCGCACGGTAAACAACATTTCCCCTAAATAAATAATCAAAACCCAAGTACACCTTGGAAACTGTCGTGATTTCTCAAATCATTTTCCATCATGATAGGAGAAAAATGGGGAGAACTACATGAAAAGCAGAAGATAGCCTCTGGTTTGGGAAGAACTCCAATCAAAAGTCAATAAAACAAACCATCATCGTCTGAATCGCTCTCCTCAAGTAAAATTTCTTGCAGCCATTCACGCTCTTTTACGTTTTGGAAATTAAACAGTTTGGAGAGCTGTAAATTCAAATTTTGACGACCACTGATCAGAAGATCTACAGTATCATGGGAAAGAAAAGTTCACTTTGTGCTTCCTCATCTCCTCTGATGGATAGATTCCTTTGGCTGAAAAGATACTAGGACGACGACTGTTTGGTCCTCGTCCCTGATGGTGAACTAGAGTGGAACCTGGGATCCTAGAAAAGAAAACAACGTTTGCCAAAAACGTGTGTATAAAAGAAAAGTTTGAAAAACAAACGCAAGGAAAACTTGAAGAATGCAATAGCTAACATG